AAAAAAAAAAAGAAATAAATAAATAAATAAATGTGTTATTCCAAACTTGGAGCTGAATTGATATCATTTTCTTACAGATGTTTTGGTTTATATTTGTGCATCCATATATTTTCTGATCATTTGAACTTTTCTTGTTACAATGCTTATGTTTTGTTTTAGGCCATCAACAACCTCAAAGCTAATGCTGCTGCACTAAATCGAGCTAATAATACTAAGGCCATACCTCCTAAAGAATTGCCTAAGCCGCAATCTGAAGATTATCAAGAGTTGCATAAGAAATCTGAACCTTCAACTGCATTGCCTGAACATCGACTGTCATCTTCTCTTCCTCCTGATTTTTTTGATAACCAGGAGGCAAAGAAGCAGAAAAATGGTAAAATTTTGTTTATGGATATTACTTCTTTATATGCCCTTTATGTCTATGTAATGGGGAGAGTAACTCTTTGGGTGTGGCACGGTCTGTATGGTTATATAAATTGCATACAGTCAATGTAGGATAATTAGTAAATCTTCAGATGACTTGTGAATGGTGATTTAAGAACTTAACTTTGATGTTTGGAGTGTATCATCTCTCTTCTTATTTCCAAATACTCCTTGCATTATTATTTGCTCGAGCCCATTACTCTCGGTCCTCATGGAATCTTTCATTGAACAAATGAGGGNAAATACTCCTTGCATTATTATTTGCTCGAGCCCATTACTCTCGGTCCTCATGGAATCTTTCATGGAACAAATGAGGGGAGCACATTAGAAGTTACCGATTTGAGTTTAATATCTCATTAATTGACCGAACAAAAGTTGGGGAATTCGCTAGTTTGGTACTTCATTAACTCGCTATGTCAGGTAATTGATCTAGGAACTCTAAATTCCTTTACTTCCTGTATGATGATTTGCTATAGATTAAAATTGGAACCAATCCGAATACAGGCAATGTAGTAATACTAGTAATAAGGATAACAATGGAGTTACCATAGAGGATTGATTTGGAAGTGATTATTTTAGCCTTTAGGTATTTAGAATTTATTATTGGCAAGGAAGGAGGAAACGAAGCTGATACGATTTATAGAATTAGACTGCTTTGGATGAAATGGAGAAGTGCTACATAATTGTGTGGACATGATCCTATGAAGCTTAAAGGCTAGTTTTGTAGAACATTTATTTGACCAGTGTTTTTTATGTACTTTAACTGCTACTGCTATGACTTTCTGAAGTACCTTGACAATGCAATTTAGATGATCTACAGTTGTAATTCAGATACTAAGCATTTCCTTATCCTGCTTTTATATACTTCTAACAGCAAATAGTAAATCTGAGGTGGTTGTTCTTTTACAGAACGGAATTATGGAAAGTTGGGACATCCTGATTCACACACCAAGAATGATCTTGTTTCTGGAAAGAATCAAGTTGTGGACCCATTTGTCTTAGGGAGTGAGACAGATGGATTATCTATTGCTAAATCCGGGGAGATTAGAGATTCTGAAATTCAGGCTTCCAAGGAAATCAGGCAGGTGTCAAAAGTAGTTGTTAATGCAGAAGATGCGCAAGTCAAAGGAGCTCTTCCTGAAGGTTTTTTTGATGACAAAGATGCTGATTTACGTGCACGAGGCATTACGCCTATGAAACCGGATGTCAAGTAAGTTACTCATATTTTATGCTTTTTGATATTCTCATGTTAATTTGTAGGTGGTGATTTGGTGACCTCATTAAAATGAATGTAATGATCATGTTATTCAGACGTTCCTTTAATTTAAGGCTGTATCCCTCTCCAACCTACACCCGAAAAAATCCTACTCCTCTCTCTCTCTCACACTCTCACAGGAATTGTTTCTTTAAGTTTGAGAATCGTTTAAGGGCTTGATTGACATGTCTTTTGCTTCCTGTAAAAGAGTGTTTAGAGGAAGCTACCTTAATTTTTATTTGGAAACTAATTTTTAAAAGAGCTTTCTATTCCAAAACTGCTTTTGAAGGAAGCCAAATTGGACTAGCTTCCTCTAAAAGACTAAAAACTCTTCTAATTAAAAGAGACACTTTTATAAAATTAGTCAAACGCTCTAATATCTGTTTTTGGTTCTCAAAAGCTCGTTTTGGCTTTTCAAAAGCCATGCCAAACAGGCCCCAAGAATCTGTGCATCTAGAACAGGAGATTTTCTTGAGCTGTAGTTGGAATGTTGGTTGAGTAGTTTATTGTAAGTCTTCACTTGGTATTAAATTTTATTCAATTTTTAACATCCTGGCACTACAAACTTATTAGCTTTAGCTTTACCCTTATCTGTGGCAGAAGGAACATTGAGCCCTTGTTTGGTAAAAATTAAAATCCAAATTTTAATCTAAG